GCTCTGGTGACAGGTCATTTCTTAACACTGGCCCTCATGTAATACATGTATCTCTGTGTAACCTGTGTTTTTTTTTCTACTTAAAGAAATAAAACTAAGGCCGGAGGCCTTGTCTACTGTATGTAAAAGCAGTACAAGGAACATTAAAGCAAAAAAAAGTCTCCTGCAACACATTCTAAAACATTATTTGTTACTTGAGATTATCATTTGGCTTTAAATTACTGGCTCATCATCAGAATGGAGCATTGCTGTTTGATGGAAGAAAAAAAGGCGAGCCATTCTGCTACAACAAAATTAGAGAGTTTCAGGAGTAGGATGTTTTACCACATGTTGCATCCTCTCTGCTTAGTTCTCAAATGGTCCAAGCTCCATTAAGTCATTTCCTTCCAGTTTGCTGGAAGGCTTTTAGCCCATGCTTGCCTCTCTGACATGTACACAAAAGAAAAACCATCACCTTGCTAGCTTTACATCTCAGGCTGTGTGCAACAGCATAATCAAAGTCACAGTACAGTCTCAACAACAGGTTCATAGAGCATAGCGCCAAACAACACTAACATTTGTGAACCTCCCTGTGTTGTTTCAAATCATGTAATCAGCACAGCCAAAACATTAACAACAACATGAACACATCTAATCGCTGTGAGCACCAAGGTAGATTTGGCTACATGAATTACACCTTTGTTTTATCTGAGTGCAGAAAGAAAGCAACAATTATTTTTACCTTGTCTTCACATTCGCAAAGCAGGATAGTCATCTAAAAAAACCTAACTCATCAAGACCCACGTAATTCAGTGAATTACAACCTCAAATCAGAAAAGGTTTGGACACTATGTAAAGTCAAAATAACTGAAAATAGTGATATGTAAGTCATCTGTGTCCTGTATCACATTGAGAACAACACAACAGCCCATTATTTGATGTGAAACCATCAACTTTATTCTGTGTTCACAATAAACACTCACTTCAATTCTGATGCTGCAACATACTCCAGACAAAGTTGGGACAGTAAAGCGTTTACCATAGTGTGATGCTGTCGTTCCTTTTCACAACACTTAAAAGCCGTTAAGGGACTGAGGACACCGAGTGATTCAGTGTGTCAGGTGTCATTTTGGCCAATTCTTTCTGCAAGCAAGTCTTAAGGTCCACAACAGTCCTGGGTCTTCATTGATGCAATTTGCATTTCAACATGTGCCACACATTCTCTACTGGGGACAGGTGAGGACTGCAGACAGGCCAGTCCAGTACTCACAGCCAGGCCTTGGTAATGTGGCAGTGTGAGGTTTTGAATTGTCTTGCTGAAATATGCATGGGTGTCCCTGGAAAAGATGTTGTCTTGAAGGCAGTATGTGCTGTCTATTCCTTCCAAAAATGACCTGAAATCCTGATTCGTCTGACCACAGTACACGTTTCCACTGTGTGATGGTCCATCCCAGATGCCTCTGAGCTCAGAGCAGTCGACTTCTGTTTAATGATGTTCTGCACCGTAGAGGGTGACAGATCCAAATCCCTTCCTGTCTTTTTTTGAGGAACATTGTTTTTAAACATTTCAATAATTTTCTCACTAATATGTTGTCAAACTGGTGGTCCTTGGCCCATCTTTGCTCCTAAAGGGCTCAGCCTTTCCTGGATGCCACTGTTGTACCAAATCATGATGCAGTCACCTGTTGACATCACCTGTTTCAAATGGGATCATCATTTCATTGTTTTACCTCGTTACTGGCCCTGAAATGTAACCGACCCAACTTTGTTTGGAATGTGTTGCAGCATCAGGATTGAAGTCAGTGTTTATTTTGAACAAAGAATAAAACTGAGGTGTCACATCAAATAATGTGCTGCTCTAATGTTTTCAGTGTAATACAGGACACAGATGATTTACAAATCACTATTGTCAGTTAAAATTTTGATTTTACATACCATCTTAACTTTTCCTGATTTGGGGTTGTAATCAAAACAAAATCAAACTCCAGTTTTGGTCTAAAGGAACAACATCTCTTAAGCTGTCATGGTGATGATCAGTTAATTTAAAGCACAAACCAGCACGAAAGTACCATTATCCTCTCCACCTATCCATACCCAGGGTAGTGGTGAGCCAGCAATGAGACCATTATGAACTACTAAAATGCTTGATTCAAACCCTATAAACCAGGGGTGCCCACACTTTTTCGCCTTGCGAGCTACTTTTCAAATGACCAAGTCAAAATGATCGATCGAGTGTTGAAATGGATTAGCTGTATTACAAAAAAGTAGCCAATAATAGTATCAGTCTGCAATTTTGACAATCAGCTCATTAGTTCTTTATTATGTTTGTTTGTTTAGAAAAAATGAAGTGGCTGCAGCCTCTATAATATTTTCCAACTTCCTATCACTGTAAGTTAGACGTGTTTGAGTTTTGGACTACTGCCCTGACAAAATAAGACACCTACTTGCCCTTTGTGAAACTATATGGGCATTTCCATTTTTTCCCATTTCCATTTTATGGCCGACATAATGAATTTATTGCAATTCCTTTTAACTCCCACAATGTAATAAAACCTATTTCTGTAAAATCACTTGATCACAAATGTTAATAGCACTGCATTATTGGCTTCAGAATTTTTTGTTGTGACTTCTAAATTTCTAACACTCAACCAGCACTACAGCCAAACTATTTATTCTACACTTAAGACAAAATTTGGTCTAAAATGAAAGAATTTTCAGTGCTACAATTATTTACTTCATCTGGAAACTACAGACAAATGAATACTTTATCATGTCTTTTAGTTTGTGATGGTCATATAAAGACAGAAAATACTGTGCCAATATTCATTTTTCAGCACAGAGACCATTGAAGCTCTGCTCCAGTTTGACAGCTTGGTGATGTCTCATGTGATCTTGTCACATGAGACATCACCAAGCTGTCACCAGTCTGTTCCTCAACAAGCTGCAGCTATCAGTTTCGAAGCAGGCCCTTTCTTACAGCACTAGACACTAACATGAGTGTAGTACCGACGCTCTAAGGGCAGTAGAGCTAACGTTAGATGTTTCAATGGTAGCTCCATATCAAAGAGAAAAACACAACAGCCACACTTTCCTCATTCATTGGTGTGGCTACCGCTGGAGTCACCTGCCTGCCTGCAGCGTTTCCACTCCGCTAGTGTCCTTCAGCTGTGTCGGGTCGCAGTAACGATTTGTCCCGATATGAAATTGATGTGCGACTCGTATTTATTCTACACGCAGTAAAACTTATGCATACGCCTTAGGTTATGTGTAGCTAAAATGGTTAACAACGACTCTGTAGGACCTGTCAGTGTTAGCAAAAACTAGCTAGCACGTTAGCTTAGCTGGTTCGTTGTTTGACATGAGTGATATGTGTAGCTAGTTTATTCGGTAAATTCAGCACGTAAAACAAACTGTTATTATATGATACTATTATAACACTTGCTCGCCTGTAATTAGCGAAGTAAAGAAAGCCGGTTTATTAAAACGGACTATTCTGTTATAAGCTTGAGTCCAGAATTACCGTTAATGTTACTGTATTCATGTGCTGCGTTCCCGTTCACAGGGAATATCATCTATTATATCAAAAGCCCTGACTTAGCAAAGATTCGTTTTTTTTTCCGGCATTTTCACACTTAACTGTTAGCCCATATGCTGCATGTGATTGTAAACCAACTATGCCAACAGGAATTGAAGGATTTCTCATAGATAAATTAAATAATTCAGAAAATTATTAATATCTAACTTGGTCATATAATTCCAGGGTCCCTTATCAAAAACCATAATACTGCATGTTTATACAAAGCATTGTTGTCCTGAACCCCACCTGAATGTAGCACAACAACCTTGTTAGCCACTAGCTGCAGCTACCTCCAGCAGCCTGCTAACGTTACATACTTACTTAGCCGGGGTTGAGAGATATAATTTCGTGTCACAGCCTGGGTGTGTGTCCTTGCTGCTGCTGCCAAGCCATTGATGTCCATCGGCTTTTTTTGCCATCACGTTGGCCACCGTTGCACAACAACCTTGTTAGCCACTAGCTGCAGCTACCTCCAGCAGCCTGCTAACGTTACATACTTACTTAGCCGGGGTTGAGAGATATAATTTCGTGTCACAGCCTGGGTGGGTTTCTTTGCTGCTGCTGCCAAGCCATTGATGTCCATCGGCTTGTTTGCCACTAGTGTTGCCATCGTTGGAAAAAGAAAAAGAGATCCTGAGAAAGGCTGTCGATGTCCTTTGCTAACTGATGCTGAATAACATAAACGACAGCTTAGCGCTTGGTCATATGACACTGAGGAACCGGATGTTTCACGAAGAAGGGATGATGGAGCCGACCACGGGGCGCGCATGAGAAAAATACAATAGGGGAATGTAGTTTTGGTTTTAGTATTTAATCATAACCTGTTGCCAAACCATCACAATTGCATTTTATTCGGTTGAGATACCACACATAGGCCTTATCACAGCATACAGTTTGACTTGTCTTAGTAGGAAAAGCATAACTCTGGTGTTACTAACTTCACTATAAAAGTGCCCCAGTAAGCCACTGAAGCGGTTATATGGATTTCCACTGTATTTTATTTTTTATTGTTCACAGTCCAATTTCATCAGGCAAACTGTACAGCTGAAAAAGCACTTATCAAACATGAATTCCCAAACCACAGGATGAAACATCATTTACAGGTTAAAATTTAAAGCTCCACTGAATTGCCCATATCTCCAAAGAATATGAAGCCATACTAATAACTATGCACAACATGCAAAAGTGTAGTTCAGTCAACACAAATTTAGTTATTTTTAGGCTTACTTGTTTGTAGTAGGAGGTCAGCAGGTTTACCTTTGTGATAATTGAAAGTGTATAAATAGCCTAAACATTAGATGTGTGCAGTCACACAGATGATGTGAGCAGTATTAGCATAAAGTAATTTGTTGTTGTTGACTGTAATTCTAATTTACATTTATTGGACAATATTATAAGGTACCAATTTTCCCTGAGTGGGGTGGAATCTGTACAAAAAGTTTTAATGAATAATCAACTATCAATAATCATTGTTCTTTTTCTATAATAAAATCATGTTTTACCACTGATGTCATATTCAAAGCACAATCAGAGTAAATTTGATTTTTTTAGAACAAATTAAATAAACATCAAGTTACTTGAACTGTAAATTAAACAGTTCGGTAAATACAATAACATAACTTCATTCAAAATTGCAGAGCTCCCACTGATTAGTATTAAAAGTATTAAACCTAGCGCACAGCATAGATGTAGCCCAAACATAGCATAAGCATAGCACAACATCCAGGCTGCATTGGAGAACTTACATTAGATCAGACTAAACATGTTGGACATATATAACGATTTGAATAAAGTCCTACCCATTTTAAAGTAGCCTTCCACAGTAAATGACAAGTTACATTGTCACATAAACATGAGCTAGGTCACTTCGTCTCACCATAAAATGTATCTATACTCAGAGCAGAGTCACTTATTTAGTTCATCACTTTTGTGTTGATTTCATTGGAAGCATTTTTAATTAGAACACTACTTATCCTGCACATTAGCAGCGCAGCTACAGTGGTGCTCTCTGCTGTCAGACACTCAGCTCTTGGCCTGTGTTAATCGAGCCTCAGATAGCTACTGTAGCTACACTGACAATCTTCTGCAACACCTTTTTTTTATCAATGAAGTTATTAATGGCAATTAACAAATTTTCCATTGACATCCCTAATTGGATGAGAGGCAGGGTACACCCTGAAAGGGGAGTAGCACATATTAACAGAAAAAAGTTCACACTCAATGAAGGAAATCACAACAGCTTGTATGCCGTGTCATTTTTAACAACAGAGGTAAGCAGTTAGCATTGAATAAAAAAATCTGATCATATGGCAGTAATGGAATTCAAGCCCTTGCATATTTGATTTGATTTGATTTATTCTTTCAAGCATGTAAAAACAGTTGATATGACAACACACATAATTTTACACACAATCCAGTATCAATTTGCTTATACCTAGTACATGCTTGAATGGAGTAGGAAGAAGTCAGACTTATCCAGTCCTACCCCATGACATCATCTTACCATCATATTAGTGGAATCAGAGTTTCTGTTCAAAAGAGAATAACAGACTGGTCAGCGTGTACGTGATGCTGAATTTATTGTAACAAGTAAACAGAGCAAATGTGCATTAGCTGCAAGTAGCATCAACTGTATATTCAGATAAAAGGGAGGCGTCTTACTGATATGTAAAAAATGAGACAAGTAGTTTCCTATGTTACAGAGACTAAAGCCAACATATACTCACTGTAATGTCTGTGAATTCAGAATTTGGTTTAATATATTGGTCTGTGCTGTAGACTTCCACTGTAAAAACTACTAAAACAACACCAGTGAGCCACATCGCTGCACTGGGTACATCTTATTTAAAAAAACAAAAATGGCTAAAAACAGCCTTTATTTTGGACAGTCTCTGAAGTAAGAGTCAGCTGTGTGTGTGTGATCCCTGCTCTGATTGCACTACTCTGCCAGATTCTCACACTGCACATAACAGAATACCCCATGAATGTCACCAAGTGCAACAGTGTGGCTCACTGGTGTGTACGTACAGACTTTTTACACCACAATAGGGGTCTACAGCACAGTAGCATAAATTAAAACATGTTCTGGATTAGGAGACATTGCAGTGGGTACAGCAAATGCATTGTTGATTTTAGTCTCTGTATGGGATTGGTGAAAAATAACAAAGACCAGAAAATCACCAGCCTTATTTATTGAATAGAAGATAAGAAATAAAGGCCTGGTTCTTTCTGAGATAACCAAAGGCCCCTGTACATTTGAGAATTTACATTAATGGCATTATTCATAAGACATTCAAAGTCTAATTAAAATGCCCAAGCCATTATTTGATCATTTGGGTAATTTCGCTGAAATGTTAGTGTTTTGTAGCATAAAGAACTGGATACCTCTGCTGTATTTGATGTGTATGTTCTCTGTGTGTCTCCCTTTCTCTCTGTCACACACACACTCACCAACACACAATGTCCCGGTGACTGAGCTGTTGAGTGACAGATAAAATGACATGATTGCACAGATTTTCCCCTTAAAACTCTTGGTTTGCTGTGTTCTCATTTTTGTAGCTCTGATCCATTCTCATTTGACGCAGCATGTTCTGCACAATAGCTGGTAAGCGACTGTTTGAAGATGATTTTGAACCATGACCCCCACACAACCAACACACTGGCAGTCAGCCGCACATCACATCCAGACACACAGCTCTCTGATGGTAAAAAAAAGCACTACAGATTGAAGTGGTAAGCACTGCCATGGTGAGGCTGACGACAGCCCCTAGAGAGCTCATCCAAACATTTCAGGCCGCATGCAAAAAATAGCAAATTAATGCAAGTGAAGAGCTTCTCCCTATAGGAGTAGTGCCCTCATTTTAGAAATACCAGTGTTTTCCCCCTGAGTCTTTTATGAGGACTTCAAAGGGATATGATTTCTCTCAAAGCTGCACAAATCAATCATCCATCTGTCTAGGCAAATAGGTATCAATATTCATGTTTTCATTTTGTATTTCTGCTACTGCTATTGTTCACACAGTGTCCTAATACATAAAGTTTTATTAAGCCCAATAGCAATAGGAACTATGGTACATTAATATAGGGTAATTCTGCAACTCACAGTATACGTCTAGGGCTAACCTTTACAGCCCCTTTACAGTAGTGTCTGTAGCATGAATGCTAATGCTGCTTCTTGTCTGTTGGTGTATAAACAGGCAAATATTTTTCAACTATATCAATTAGCCATATTAATATTTCAAATGTGTGTGATTTTCAGATTGTTATGGAATTCTGCCCCTGGTAGCCATGAAAAACACAAAATCAAGTGTTTTCGTTGCCTGAATTTGTCGTATTAACTTTATTCCTTTGTTTTTGTGGGACTAGTCCTTTGCTAACCTTGACCATACCTTAGTTGCTATTTGCCATGCAACACTGAAGAACAAAATAATTTTTAAAACACTGATAGTAAATGTTCAAAAGACACACCTGAATGCAGTCTGGTTTGGTTTGGATTATTTTAAAGGCATTATCAAATGCTAACAGAAATTAAGGATTTTTAAAAGTTGCACCGAGTATCCTGAAAAAACATACAGTACAATTCCTACTATTATCTGAAATACACATACATTAAGTATGTTTATAAGATGCGTTTATCAAATCACTATGGCTCATTTCAAAGACAGACCATGGAGGCTGCCTGTGCAGCTATGAGCTTGTTTTTAATTCTCAATTCACCTTTAATGGTCGAAAATTAGAGAAGTTAGTTAACGCAGCTTTAGTTTAACTGTTACAATTAAGTTGTTATGTAACAGATCAAAGATTTGTGGCTATGTTTCAGTTGTTAACAGTAAATCAATCCTAATTGTTGTGTAGTATTTCTATGTTTCTCATAGGGAGAAAGTGCTATGTGATTGGTGGGTCAGACTTTGACAGATGCATCCCAGATACAGCATCCATCAAAAATAGACTCGATGTGTATCTTTAGCAAAACGGACCAGAGAGCTGCATGTAGGATGGATTGGAAATGGAACACAGACAGACCTGATGGGAACACAACCACTGACTAGACTGGCAGGGATCAGCTCTGGTGATTGCATCACAGGTGGAATGCAACACAGCCAGATCAGACGGAAATTAGGCTTTAAGTTGCACATTTTAGTGGTGTGTGTATCCAGTGACTTTTTAAATCTTCTTTATTTGCATGAAGTGCTGTTAGACTATGAGTAATTCCCAACACATCAGTGCTTCTCTCATTTGTGTCTTTTCCTTACCTTTTACCCAGCACACACAGGGATGTCCTAAGGATGTCTAATTGGGGTCAAAGACAAATGCTGAAAAAGTGGTTCACTGATTAGCCAGTATGAAAGGTTTTGGATGTCTTCTGAACATTCAATTTGGACATCCATCAGCTGTCTTCACAAGGTTCAGAATGAAAGTTTGTGACATCATTTTTGGATGTCTTCTGTACATTTGGACATCCATTGGACATCTTCACCACATTTCTGTAACACTTTACCCAGTTTTGCATAGGTGTGGAGGAACCTCTTGCCTTATTAGCTGTGAGGTACAAAAAGTGAGGCAGCAATGACTGATCAGCATCGAAACAAACTCCCTTCATTTGCGATTTTGAAACCAGGTTCAGTATCTGGGCAGCTTTTGAGGACCTTTTTTGGAGGTCAGTAGTCATGCAAAACACATGTTTTGTACCTGCTTGGATGTCCTCAGATGTTCAACCTTATCAACCTCTCTCTATTAACATGT